GTTCTTTTTGACTTGGCCTATCTCACTTAGTATAATGTTTTCAAGCTTTATCTTAGCATGTGTCAAAATTCCCTTTTTTAAGGCTCAGTAATATTCTATTATATGTACACATTACATTTTGTTCATTCATTTGTTAATGGACATTTGGGCAGTATTATTGTAAATAATTCTGCTACCAACATTTGTTTATGGAATCAATAGATTCTCTAATGTTTGGTCCATTTTCTCAAGTCCTTGCTTTTATTTCTCTTGGGTATCTACTCAGAAACAGAAGTGCTAGATCATATGGTAATTATGTTTACATTTCTGAGGAACCACTATACTATTTTATTCCAATAGCTGTACCATTCTGCATTCCTATTAGCAATGCACAGGGTTCCCTTTTTTCCTACAACCTTGCTAGCAGTTGTTATTTTCTGTTTTTGTTTATTTTTGTTTTATATATAGCCATCCTAATGGGTATAAAGTAAGTACCTTATTGTGATTTTGTTTGCATTTCCTAAATGTTGAGTGGTGGTGTTCATATGCATTTTAGCCATATGTATATTTTGTTGGTGAAATGTCTGTTTAAGTCCTTTGCCCATTTTCAAACTAGTTGGTTTTTATTACAGATTTTTTAGGAACTCTTTATATTAATTCTGATATTAATCCCATATAAAATAATGTGATTTGCACATTTTTTCCCATTCTGTAACCTTTTAATTCTTTTTATAATGTTATGATTTTTTAATTTTTGTAGAATCTTGATTTTTTTCCCTTTTGTTGCTTGTTCTTTTGGTAGCATATTCAAGAAATAATTTCCAAATCCAGCATCATGGAGCTATCCCAGTGTTTCTTCTAAGAGTTTTGTGGTTTCTGCTTTTAAGTTTAGGTCTTTGATCCATTTGAGGTAATGTTTGTGAATTGTAATAAGGTAAGGATTCGGTTTCATTCTGTTGATTATAGGTAATCTAGCTTTTTCAGCACCATTTGTTGAAAAGGCTGTCCTTTTCCTTATTGAATGCTTCCGACACCCCTGTTGAAAATTAATTGACCATATATATAAAGATTTATTTCTGAGCTCTCTGCTGTATTCCACTGGACATTATACACTCAGTTTTGCTATGAAGCATGTATATTTTACATACATCCAGCACATATGCTTATTTTACTACTGGTCTTTCTTGTTTTAATCAGGAGTGATCATTTAGGTAGGAAATTCCATTTTATCATTAAATATGTTGTTTTGACTCAACATATAATATGGCGAATTTCTTCAATAGATTCTCTAATGTTTGTTCCATGGTTATATTTCTGGAAAATGCTATTTGTTTATAGATGCTTGAAATATATATAGTGGCAAACAAAGTGTTTGTTAATATTTATTATATTTGTTTAAATGAGACCTGAATTTTTTTCCTTTTCATGATGTAATCCTTAGGTTAGTGTTATACTTGCTTCATAAAAAGGGTTTGCAAGATTTCCTTCCTCTGTACTCTAGTATGGTGTAAATATCATCTGAATTATCTATCATTTGGATCTGAAAGAATTTTATCTATGAACTTAATAGCTTAGTATGTTTTTTGATTTTAGCTTTTTGAGAAAATCTTTTCAATTTCTTCCATGGTCTTGGTATATTTTAGTTGTATCAGAAAGAAATTTCAAAACTTGTATCATTTGAGCCAAGAGAAGGTAGGAGAATTGCTTGAACTCAGGAATTTGAGGCCATCCTGTGCAACATGGTGAAACCCGTATTTAAAAAAAATATAAACAAATAAATAAACCTGTATTCTTCAAAGGGTGAGAAATAGGATGTTTAGATCTTAAATGTAATTCTTACATAGTTAAACTTCCCTTTCTCTTGGTAATGTTTTTCTTTGATATTTTATTGTTTAAAATAAAATTTTCAAGTCTCAACTATGAAATGTTGGCATGCCAAAAAGTACATAAAATGACATTTTGGTTAATTTTTCTTAATCTCATTAAGATAATAGTGTAGAGAGTTTTATGATCCTACCTCTCTGTCAGTGTTATTTGCTAAGATTCTGTTTTTAAGAAACTGATCTCAGTGGCTTAGGGATATACCTCAGTAGTTGAGTGCCTGTCTAGAATGCATGAGGCCCTAGGTTTGATCCCCAGTACTGCAAAACAAACAAAGAAACCAGATCTGTAGTAAGTATTTAGCATTTGGCTTTAGCCAACACTCAATAAAGTAAAGTAACTCTGAACTAAACTATATGAATTGTTTGCTATTGAAATTGTATTAAAATATCTAGCCTTTTCCTTCATTTCTGAAAGAAGCTTGGTTGGGGAAGACTTTATCAAAGGAATAGATGATGTTCCTCAAATAATAATAGACGAAAAAGAGAACTTTCGGTTTTACCAGTCTGATCAGAAACTCATTTCATGACTGAAAGTCACTCTTGATACAGCTGTTTGGGTTTCCTGTGCCCTTTCTGAAGAGCTTACTGTTGCAATTTGTTTAAGTAGCAGCAATTGCTGAAACATTTTGGGGTGGGAGACTTCTTCATGAAATGGAAGCAAGTCTGAAAATGTGACCTGTATGAGCCTGTTAGATGGCATTTCAGGGACCTAAATTGTTATTTTATGGAGCTGGCTTCTGACAGTTGAATAAATGCATAGAAATTTATTACTATGCAAGATCACTTTGGGCTGGCGTTATAACTCAGTGGCAGAGTGCTTGCCTAGCACATGTGAGGCACCAGGTTTGATCCTTAGCACCACATAAAAATAATAAATAAAATAAAGGTATTGTGTCCTTCTATAACTAAAAATAAATAAATAAAATCACCTTTACTGTTTCTTTTATTCATTATCTGACAACAATAGAGAGGATTTTATAATTCTAGAGTTGAGCCATCCTTACCAAAGTAATATTGTTTCTGGTTGCTAAAGGAATATATTCAGCTATATTGAAGAAAAAACATTAATCCGTGACAAAACTGTTAATATTTTATTCAGTAGTTTTAAATAGTTTAAAATTGCCAGAAACTCAAAAATTCTACTTACTGACCTCTAATAGTTAATGTGTTCCCTTGGTTCAAAATAAATGTTATGTAGTGAAGGACTTTTCCTCTTCTCCTGTAACCCATAATACTCAGTTCCTTTCCTTTACCTAAAACATTTTACTGGTAACAAGACTAATCTGTTCTCTTTCATCACTTTCCCATACCTTTGCCCCTCAGTTATCATTAGGTAAAATTGTGAAATAGGTCATATTTATTTGGGATAACCTTCTTTCTTAGATTTTTGGCCTTTCTTGTCTGGTACATTAGTTCTCAACTAGTTATATCTCATAACCCATTAATCTTGAAAATCCTGTGATATAGTATTAAACAGCACTTACTGAGGAAGACTTACATATGTTAGAGATGATGTACTTTAAGAATTAAGATTAAGAATTAAGATCACAGAATTAAGATCACAGTTTAGAATTAGGTTATAGTTTAGGATATTTTCTGAAAATGGAGTTGACCTCTTAAGGTGTTAGTAACTTCTGTAAATGAATGATTGATATGGGAGCTATCTTCTTGGGAAATAGTATAAATGATCTTTTCTCTGTGTTGGTATTCTCAAAGCATTTGAGGGATAACTCCAATGCCTATTGCAATGAGAATTACACTAAATAATCCATGTTAAACATCTATAATGGTAACAGACACTGATAAATTTCAGTCACCTTTTTATTGTAATCTATAATATTTTACTGTTAGCAAGTTTAACCTTAATAATATTGCATTAAGTAGATAGAAAAAGTCATTATTTCTAGTATTAAAAATTGATAATATAATTCAAACATTAAGTTTAGACTGGGAGATAGTAGTATAGAAATGTTATAGGTAACTTCAGAGCATGAAAGGGCTCTGAAATTTGGTAATTTTTGTATTTGTTTAGCTAGCATTCAGTTATTACTGGTTTCATTTTGGAGTATCATTGCTTTTAAGAGATGGTAATTATTTTATAAGTTGCCCACAAGTTGTATGTAAAACTGATGGCTTTTTATTAAGAGCTTACATATTATGTAGATCCTCAAGTGCAGTGTCAGCAGTAATTTTTCCCATATATAATAAATTTTTTTAAAGAAATATATACTTACTGTGATAATTATTACCATTGTCTGTCTTTCAAATAGAGGTTGTTATTTTATATAAATTTTATTTTATGTAAATTTTATTTTACATAAATTTTCCTAACTTATATTACACCAAGTCTTCTCATATATTAAGGAAGGTATTTTAATTTTTTTATTTTTAATATAATTAATAAATTATTTTACCACTTTATGGCATTATTTGGGATTTAGTGTTATATATGAGTGGAGTACCTATTAAGGATTAAGTAATTGAAAATGATGTTATAATTAAGTAATTATATTTTATCATAGAGCTTACCTTTTTAAAAAAGTTGTATTCCATTTATAATCAGCTTATTTGGTTTATATTTATTCTTTCTCTGTTTATTCTATAGTAACTTTTTAATGTAAAGATGCCTGTTAGTTTTCCAAAAAGATAGTAATGCTAATACTCTCTTTGTCAGGTACAGGAAGAATAGAACAATCAGCCCTCTATCTGGCTAGAATATTTGTTATCTAAGTCATCTATACTATCATTGCTTCTGAAGGAGTTACATTCATGTTTTTGTCCATTATATTTAGTAGAAATACCATTTTGTATTTAGTTTGTCTCTTCTCTTTAAAAACACCAATATGGAAATCTTCAGTTTTCTTTGATTTGGTAATTTTAATTTATTAATGGTATTGATGTGAGGATATCATATTTTTTAAACAAGATAACTTAGACTTCCTGAATCAGTTATGACTAATTCAGAATGTGACAATGTTTTAAACATTTTTTCCCCAGGATTTTGCTGTGTAGAGGATTTTAGTATAGCTTCCTAACCAGTACATACTAAAAATTTGAATTATATTGTAGTTGCTTGAGGTTAAGGAATAAAGACCAAATTCTTTTATTTTTTTATATTTTGTTTGTTTGTTTTTAAAGACACCTAGCTGTTGGGCAGAAGAAGGAGCAGAAAAGAGATCACATCAGCGTTCTGCATCATGGGGGAGTGCTGATCAACTAAAAGAGGTAAGTTATTTCTGTTTTTTGTTTATAACCTATTTTGTCCTAGCAGATTATTTCACTGTTTTTGAATATAATGGTACTTCTTTTATTTATCCTAACATTACCTCATTCAGAATTTAAGGGTTGAATTTGTGTTTTGTTGGACAAGAGTTTCCTTTAGTATCCTTTATGTCCTTTATAAATATTTGTTCTCTATCCAGTTGGTATAGCTGTTCTAGAATGAAGTCTGATTTTATATAATAATATTATGTTTTGTTCATTTAGGTATTTTTTGTTCCTCCTTTACCTGCTTGTTTTTAAATTATGGCAACCAGAGATAGAGATCATAGGTTTGTACAGTGATGGATAGTGTTTATTGTTTCGGATACATTTTTTTTTTAATGACATCTAGCATACTGTTTCCCTTTGGGACCTAATAGTACAGTAGAAACCATATCTTTTTTTTAATTGGATTTAAAAAAAAACATTTTTTTAAATTGTAGATGGACACAACACCTTTATTTTATTTATTCATTTTTATGTGGTGCTGAGGATCGAAACTGGTGTCTCATGCATGCTAGGCAAGCACTCTACCACTGAGCCCTTCATTGGATCATTTTAGTTATACATGACAGTAGAATCCATTTTGACATAATTATACAAGCATGGAATATATCTTGTTCTAATTCAGACCCCAGTACCTCTCTTTCCCCGTTTCTCTTCCCTCCCCTCCTCTTTTCCCTCTGTTGCTCTTTATTCCATTTACCCAGTTATTTTTTTTAATTAATTTTTTGTGAATGTATATGATGGTGAGATTCACTGTGGTATATTCATATCTTTTAGAATTATTTCTTATTATTCATTCCCTTATTATAAACAACCACAGATATAACTATGTATCTTTAATCTTATCTATCTACATTCTTATCTGTTTGTTTTTATTAAATTACAGAAACTTGGTGTGGAAATGTCATCTGTTCATCTCCTCTGTAAACACCCTTTTAAAAGATGGTTATCTAATATTTCTTAATGATCATTCTCAGCAAGGGGAACTCATTACTTTAAGAGAACCAGTTCAATTGTTTTAACTTATCTTGTTAAATGTGTTCTTTTATATGTTGCATGAGATATTATACTCTACCCTTTTGGATTCATAGGAAATCCATTTTAACTATCTGAAAGGCTAGCAATAATTCATTTTTTTTTCCTTTAGGGTAAACATTGACATTACTATTGAATTTTTTTCATATTCATAGTTTCCAGATTTTTTATCATTTTCATATACCATAGGTTATCATTATCCATATCCCTCATATACTGTGGCATCTATATAATGTCTAGCAGCATGATTTTTTTTTTTTGTACCAGGGATTGAACCCAGGGGAACTTAACCACTGAGCCACATCTCCAGCCCTTTCTATTTTTTATTTTGAGACAGGATCTCACTGAGTTGCATGGGGCCTTACTGAGTTGCTGAGGGTGGTTTTGAATGTGTGATTTTCCTGCTTCAGTCTCCTGAGCTACTGGGATTAAAGGCATGCTCCACTGTGTCCCGTTATTAGCATGATTTTTGCCTGTGATTTTATTACATCTCTTTAGTAGCCTTTTGATGTTATGGATGTAAATCTGGATCTCCCATCTACCTGACACAGAAACACAATATGCACAAAATCAACAACAAAAAGGAAGCTGAGTCTAATATATCAAGACTAAAATAGTGCTACAAATTCATGCATAGACTATGAGTAAGACAACCATAAATGCACGTATAACTACCAAAACAAGTATTTCAGTGCTCTGGAAATTAATCAAAATAAACTGAGAAACTTTAAAACAAACAAACAAAGAAACCTACTGAACTTAAAGTAAGAATAGTACAAGCTTGTAGTATTCTAGTATTCTTGTCTAGTGCTACTTCTCTTCCATTCTTTCTCATCCCTAGCTCTGTTGGTGACATTTCAGCCAGAATGGGGTAGGCCTTGAAAACCAGCAGATTTATTGCCCTTACTGGAAAGAGATCAGTTGATATGGAGCCTTGTCAGTTAGAATATGGATCTTTGTGGCAAGGAACAGGGAGGGCCAATTTATGAACTAGTTTGAGGTTGTAGTCCAATTTGGAGCACGAAACAATCTTACGTACTAGTGGAATTTAATAGTTTTGAGAGATAAGATAGTCAGAGACTTGATAAATTCCCCATATGTCCTATGTTGACTAGGGATAATGGATATGCACAGCAGATAACAAAGTGGGCCCAAACCACCCATGCATCCCTGCTCAGTAATGCCTAAGAATAGGTGCAAACCAAATTCAAGTGGTCCAGTGGAAATGAAAACCAGGTAAGATTCTAAAAGTCCAGAATTTCAAATGTACTACTCTGTCCAGAGATAAGTCCTATCAGTGGAAGAGGAAATTTTACTGGCTTGAGATAGTTTTTAAGAATATATGATAAATATTTTGCTAAACACTGAGGCAAACCAACGCTGGAGAACAGCTTTAAAGGGTATAAAAAAGCCATGCTAAAAATAATGGAGTAGGGACATTAGTGACCTTTGTTACAAGGGAAACAGACCTTTAGGCCATCAAGTTACTGAAGCAACAAACAGATGTGACAGTAGCTTTCAGAGGGAAATATCAATACCAGGAATTGCTGTATTTTACTATCTCAATTGTTCAACATTCAACCAAAGATTTAGATATATGCAAAAAACCAAATATATGGCACATACTCAGGAAAAAAAAAGGTCAGTAGAAATTTTATCTTAAGTGTCTCTGTATATTGGATTTAGCAGACAAAGGCATCAAAACAGCTATAAGATTTTCAAAGAACTATAGGAAACCATGATTAAAGGAAAGTAAGACTGGTAGGACTGCAGACACTCACTGCATGAAGAGTTTCTACAAAGAGTTATTATAAGAAAGAGGCAAAGATATTCTAGGCTTAAAAAGTATAGTAACTAAAATTAAAATTTTACCAAATAGACTTAACCACAGATTTGAGATGACAGACAAAATTAGTAAATATGCCAGTAACTCAGTAGAATTTGTATCTCCTGAGGAAAGGGAACAGATGGGGGGAAAAAAAAGAAAGAAAAGTCAAAGAGCCACAGAACCAAGAGAGAAGAGGCAGAGCAGAGCAAAAATAAATAAATAAATAAAAGTGAAAGAAATAACAGCAGAAAAGTTTCCAGATTTGGTGAAGAACAAACTGCAATGTTAAGAAGCTAAACTAACATAAAACACAGATACATCATAGGTAAACTGTTGAAAACCAAAAGTAAATATAAAATCTCAAAAGATGGAAAAAGAAAATGAGTCATCATACATGGAGAACTAATAATACCTTTAATAACTAACTAACTTTTTATCAGAAATTATGGAGACCACCAGGTATGACATATTCCAAGTGCTGAAAGAAAAAAAAAATCTGTTAATCAACTATTCTTTATCCAGTAAAACTAGTATTCTAAAATGAGGATAAAAAAAAAAAACATTCCCATTCCCATATGAACAAAAGATTGAGAGAATTTATTGCTACATGTTGTCTGTAAGAGACACACCTTCAATTCAAACACAGAGAGTGAAAGTGAAAGGATGGAAAACGATATACAAAGAAAGCAGTAGTGATAAGAGAACTGGAGTGGGCATATTAATACCATACAAAATAGACTTTACAACAAGAAGTATTTCTGAAGACAAGTAGGGACATTTCATTATAGTAAAAAGGTCAGTGTGAAAGGAAATGTTACAGTTATAAATATGTATGACTCTAACAATAGCATTCCAAAATGCATGAAACAAAAACTGTAAGAGGAGAAATAATAGTCTTACCAGTAGTGACTAGGGATTTCAGCATCCTATTCTCAATACTTGATATAACAATGAAGTAGACAAAGAATTAACAAGGTGATAGAAAATAACTTAAAAGTATTAATTTTAAAAGAATTAAAATGATACATTGAAGACTTCACCAACATTACCAACTAACTTGATCTATTTTAATTGCTATGTATAGAAAACACCATCCAGTTACTGTGGAAAATATCTGTTAAGTATATGTGAAATGTTCTTTAGGTTAGACCATATTCTGGACCATAAAACAAGCTTCAATAGATTTCAAAATATTGAAATCATATAACAGTAAATTTTCTTTTTTAAAATATTTTAATATAAAGGAAAGACTATAAATTATTGCTTTCCTTAGGTGCTTAACTTTCTAACATGTTGTTTCTCCTTTATTATTTGCCATAGGTAAAAGTTATTGCCCTCAATAGTCTGTATACCTTAAATATTTAGGCTTTATTAGTAATTGTCTAGTGTGTTTTTTATTGCCATGGTTATTTAAGTATTTAGAGAACTTAATAATACATTTTATTTTGAATAGCTCTGTATGAGAAAATCAATATATTTCATAGACTTCATGTTTTTTAAAATTACGGTAGGAGAAATAATTGTATTTTCTCTAGACCTTCAAGAAAGCAATCTGAAGATTTTATTGTTCAAAGGAATTTTGTGAGAAACTTTATACATACATGTGTTCTTCATCTAAGAAAATCTCTAAATTAAGTGGAGTCACAAAAATCCTTTTATTATCTCTCTCTTCCAGTAATGGGAATTGAACACAGTACACTTTACCACTGAACTGTATCCCCAGCCCTTTATATTTTTGAGATAGGGTCCTACTAAATCTCTGAGACTGAACCTTGAATTTGTGATCCTCCTGCCTCAGCCTCCTGAGTCACTGAGATTATAGGCATGTGCTACCATGCTTGGCCTTTCAGTATCTTTTAAAAGGTCAATAAATAGGAACAGTTTTTAAGATTATACAAACTGCTTATTGGGAAAAAAAAAAGAAAGAAACTTATCAGTAGATCCACATACAGTAAGTTAATTGCCTTATCAAATTTTTATTCATTTTAATTTTATAGCTTGTAGTATCTCCAACATTAAAAAAGGAAATTAGTTTGTGAAGTGGTTGAGATCATAAGCCAAATATACTATTACTGGTACATATTAGCAGTTAAAC